CGAGATCAACCTCATCTCCCACCCCCTGCGGGGTATAGGAACTCCTAGATCAACCTCATCTCCCACCCCTGCGAGGTATAGGAACTCCGAGATCCACCTCATCTCCCACCCCCTGCGGGGTATAGGAACTCCGAGATCAACCTCATCTCCCACCCCCCTGCGGGGTATAGGAACTCCTAGATCAACCTCATCTCCCCACCCCCCTGCGAGGTATAGGAACTCCTAGATCAACCTCATCTCCCACCCCCTGCGGGGTATAGGAACTCCAAGATCCACCTCATCTCCCACCCCCTGCGGGGTATAGGAACTCCGAGATCCACCTCATCTCCCACCCCCTGCGGGGTATAGGAACTCCGAGATCCACCTCATCTCCCACCCTCTGCGGGGTATAGGAACTCCTAGATCAACCTCATCTCCCACCCCCTGCAGGGTATAGGAACTCCGAGATCCACCTCATCTCCCACCCTCTGCGGGGTATAGGAACTCTTAGATCAAACCTCATCAACCTCATCTCCTACCCCCTGCGGGGTATAGGAACTCCTAGATCAACCTCATCTCCCAACCACTGCGGGGTATAGGAACTCCTAGATCCACCTCAATCTCCCACCCCCTGTGGGGTATAGGAACTCCTAGATCACCTCATCTCCCACCACCTGCGTGGGGTATAGGAACTCCTAGAGATCCACCTCATCCCCCACCCCCCTGCAGGGTATAGGAACTCCTAGATCCACCTCATCTCCCACCCCCTGCAGGGTATAGGAACTCCTAGATCCACCTCATCTCCCACCCCCTGCGGGGTATAAGAACTCCTAGATCAACCTCATCTCCCACCACCTGCGGGGTATAGGAATTCCTAGATCCACCTCATCTCCCACCCCCTGCGGGTATAGGAACTTCCTAGATCAACCTCATCTCCCACCCCCTGCGGGGTATAGGAACTCCTAGATTTAATTAAGCAGACACGCTGCCTTCTGGACTCCCCCGTTGAGTTCAACAAACAACACAGAAACAAAACAACATTGCTGGTCTCCGTCACAGAGACAGTACAGCAACAATACAGTTCAATACAAGAGGGTTAGGAGGGACCTGATCCTGGGAGCTTACAATCTAGGAGGGAGGGAGGGGCTAGTGGTACAAAGGTAATAACTGTGGGGATGGACTGGTAGGAGGAGTAGAGAGATTCCATTATTAGCTGAAGGCGGGATAGGCTTCCCTGAAGACAGAGGTTTTCAGAGATCGCCTAAAAGTGAGCATAGTAGGCGATAGTCTGTTTAGATTGGGTTAGAGAGTTTCCAGAGGATGGGGGAGGCTCATGGAGAAGTCCTGGAGATGAGCATGGGAGGAGGAGACAAGGGGACTATAGAGCAGGAGGTCGTGGGAGGACTAATCTGTACTAATGACACTGGCTGGGGAGGGGTTAACAACCAGGGCGATCAAGGGGTTAAATATATACCTAACAATGTGTAATGTTTGTATTATGTTTCTGCTTTCACTAACAGATCTCTATGATTCTCCTCCCTGCAAAGCAAAGCAGGGATAAGAAACAGAGGAACATTCCCTATGTACAGAGCTCTGTGGTTGCTTGTTAACACAGGACTCTGGCTGTGATTGGTCAGCGGGTCATCGGAATCATTGTCCAGGACTTGCTGACAGACTCCTGTTGTTGTACAATCACAGAAGGTGTCGTGTGGGGGTGGCGCGCGTGCCTGCACAGGCCGTCCTTCTTGCAGCACATTGCAGGCCGAGCAGTCCGGAAGCGGTTTAAAAGACCAGTTCACTTTTAGTCGATTCCTACCTTGTCAATCAAGACCCTGATAAGAATGGGGGGGGGTTCTTGGACCCCCTAAAATACTGTTTGGATTGTTCCTTCTGCAAAGCAGGGATGAGAATCAGAGAGATTGTTCCCTCTGTACAGAGCTCTGTGTTGTTGTTAACACAGGACTCTGGGCTGTGATTGGACAGGTCATCGGAATCATTGGCCAGGACTTGCTGACGGACTCCTGGTTTGTTCTCATTCACAGCAGGTTCGGTGGGGGTGGGGGTGGACTGCACAGGCCCGCCCATCCGCAGTACTTTGCGGAAGCAGTTAAAAGACCAGTTCACTTTTAGTCTATTCCCATTGTTGTCAATCACAAACCCTGATGGGGGGAGGGGTTCTTGGACCCCTGAAATCCTTTTTGGGTTGGCCCCCCTGACCTTTATGGACTTACGTTGTATTTTTGGCACCTCTTTGTCTGGTGCTTCCGTTTCGATTTTTTGTTACCTTGCTGGCTCGCTGCCCTTTACCTGATGTCAGTGAAAAGTCCAACCACAAATCTTTACATGTCCGTCTTGTAAAGCTTCAGTTACGTGAGGATCACACTAATGGTCTGGATGGAACCTCACTAGGATTTATGTAGTGAAAGTATTGACTACTACAGTCCACGAAATTTACTACCAGAGAAGGAACCGCATTTCAGTGGAAACGCTACTCTGGATCACCCTTCCCACTTGTGTAAAGGGAACCAACCCAATCCAGCCAACCCCAGAGCCATACATTTGTTTCAAGTATGGGACAATTGTAAATATTCCGGTAAATGTGCTCCCGACATTTCTCCGATAGATGGTAGTTGGTTGGCCTGGTGAGAAGAAGGTAAAGTGCTCTACCTGGGGTATCCCCATGGACTCTCTATGGGACAACCCTAACATTCCTGAGCTCCTGGGTCACCCTGACTCCAGTTGGTGGGAGCCATCTTGGCAGTGCTCTCCTCTCGCATGTCTTTTTGAACTGTGTTTTTGTATCTTTTGATGACCTAACGTCCCGTGATAAGGGGGCAATAAATTATTTTATAAATTTTTTTGCTGCTGCATCATGTTACACGGGTACAATTTAGGGAACTTGATTCTGAGCTCTCGGAATCATCCGTAGAAATACTATTGCTAGATCCAGATATTGCTGGTCACCACTATCTATTCCCGTCTTCAATCAGCCGGAGCCGACCCCTTCCAGATTGCTAAGCATAAGTGGGTGGCCGTGTTCCCGGAGCTGCTTGAAGAGGGTTGGGAGGATGATATGAGGATCATATATGAGGATGATATGAAGGTCAGTGTTCAAGACCTCATTAGTACCACCGATAAATGTACTCAATTCAAGTTTATCCACCATCTTCGCTATACCTTGGCTAGGTTGACTTGAATGGTTTCAGATCTGCGGCCTCTCGTCCTCATTGTGGCCTTGAGGGTGCAGATCTGCTGCACATGTTCTGGACCTGTCCTGCTCTTACCCCAGGTTCACACCTAAGCCTTTTCTGCAGTGCAGTCCATTTAACATGATTTCCTATGGGACACGTTCACATCTGCGTGTTTTCACCCCACTGAGTTTTTTGGAAGGGGTCAGAGACTTTTTTAACCACCTCCCATCAGGCCCATGTATATAAATGGCAGTGCAGGGTCAGCTGGCCATGTTAAACGGCCTCCCCGCCCCCTGCTTGTGCGCGCTCCTTGGGAGCGCGCAGCACTGCGATCCAGTGTCTTCCGGATACAGTAGAATACCGATCGTTGTACGGGACCTCTGTGTGAGGTCCCGATCATGTGATCACTGATTTGCCAATCAGTGATCACTAGCAGAGTAGTAAGCAAGATGTAACTTCTGACATCATTGCTTACTACGTGTGAAATCTGTGAATGATCACAGAGGTCACATGGTACAGGGCTATTCACAACAGCCTTGTACCATGTGACAAGCTGTGACCAATCACAGCTCTCACAGTATTTCTCAATGCTGCAGGAATGCTGCCAGAGAGAAGGAGAAATTATTGATTTACAGCCTTTATGGGTGTAAAAAGCAATCAGTTGTAAAAAAAAAAATCTTCATCAGCCCCACAAGTAGTACAGTGTCACCAATGGTGACCGCCACCCACACTGCTAGGGTGACAGTATGTAAAAAAAACATAAATAATAATAAACAAAACTAAAAAATAAAAATGTAGAAAAAAAGTTAAAACATAAATTTTTGGTTATAAACTTTTTTTTTTTTTTTACTAAAAAGATAACGGAATACATTTTGGCCGAGATTTATGATGAAATATTATTTATTTGCAAAATTTTATAAGAAAAACACTTTTTTTTCAAAATTTTTAGACTTTTTCATTTACATAGCAAAAGAAATAAAAATCCCAGCGGTGAATAAATACCACCAAAATAAAGCTTTATCTGTCTCAAAAAAATGCTAAAAAATTCATATGGGTACAGTGTTGCAATGACCGCGCAATTGTCATTCAAAGTGTGATAGCACTGAAAGCTGATAATTGGCCTGGGCAGGAAGGGGGTGAAAGTGTCCGGGACAGGAAGGGGGTAAAAGTGTCCGGACTGGGGGGGGGGGGAAAGTGTCCGGACTGGAGGGGGGGGGGAAAGTGTCCGGACTGAAAAAAGTGGGGAAGGGGGGGAAAGTGAAAGGGGTGGGACTGGAAGGGGGGGAAAGTGTCCGGAATGGAAGGGGGGGAAAGTTGTCCGGACTGGAAGGGGGTGAAAGTGTCCGGACTGGAAGGGGGGGGAAAGTGTCCGGACTGGAAGGGGGGGAAAAGGACTGGAGGACTGGAAGGAGGGGAAAGTGTCCGGACAGGAGGGGGGGGGGAAAGTGTCCGGACTGGAAGGAGGGGAAAATGTCCGGACTGGAAGGGGGGGAAAGTGTCCGGACTGGAAGGGGGGTGAAAGTGTCCGGACTGGAAGGGGGGGGGGGAAAGTGTCCGGACTGGAAGGGGGGGGGGGAAAGTGTCCGGACTGGAAGGAGGTGAAAATGTCTGGACTGGAAGGGGGGGGGAAAAGTGTCCGGACTGGAAGGGGGGGAAAGTGTCCGGACTGGAAGGAGGTGAAAATGTCCGGACTGGAAGGGGGGAAAAAGTGTCCGGATGGAAGGGGGGGAAAGTGTCCGGACTGGAAGGGGGGAAAGTGTGCGTCCGGACTGGAAGGGGGGGAAAGTGTCCGGACTGTGGAAGGGGGGGAAAGTGTCCGGACTGGGGAAGGGGGGTGAAAGTGTCCGGACTGGAAGGGGGGGTGAAAGTGTCCGGACTGGAAGGGGGTTGAAAGTGTCCGGACTGGAAGGGGGGGAAAACGTGTCCGGACTGGAAGGGGGGAAAGTGTCCGGACTGGAAGGAGGGGAAAGTGTCCGGACAGGAAGGGGGGGGAAAGTGTCCGGACTGGAAGGGGGTGAAAATGTCCGGACTGGAAGGGGGGGAAAGTGTCCGGACTGGGAAGGGGGTGAAAAGTGTCCGGACTGGAAACAAGGGGGGGAAAGTGTCCGGACTGGAAGGAGGTGAAAATGTTCTGGACTGGAAGGGGGGGAAAGTGTCCGGACTGGAAGGTGGGGGGGAAAGTGGGGAAAGGGACTGGAAGGAGGTCTGAAAATGTCCGGACTGGAAGGGGGGGAAAGTGTCCGGACTGGAAGAGGGGAAAGTGTCTGGACTGGAAGGGGGGAAAAGTGTCGGGACTGGAAGGGGGGGAAAAGTGTCCGGACTGGAAGGGGGGGAAAGTGTCCGGACCAAACAGGAATGGGGGGAAAGTGTCCAAACAGAAGGGGGAAAGTGGTCCGGACTGGGGGGAAGGGGGGGATAGGGGGGAAAGTGTCCGGACTGGAAGGGGGGGAAGTGTCCGGACTGGAAGGGGGGAAAGTGTCCAAACTGGAAGGGGGGGAACTCAAAAAGTTAGAGTGTCAATGGACGCAGCTGGAATGTGTTTGGAGGTTTTGAAAATGTCCGGAACTGGAAGGGGGGAAAGTGTCAGGACAGGAAGGGGGGGTAAAGTGTCCGGACAGGTTTAAAGGGGGGAAAGTGTCCGCATACAGGAAGGGGGGAAAAAAGTAGGTCCGGACTGGAGGGGGGAGGAAAGTGTCCGGACTGGAAGGAGGTGAACTAGTGTCCGGATGGAAGTGGTTTAACTCAAAAAGTATGCGTCTTTGTTGGGCACAAATAGACTTCAATGGAAACGCTGCAGGAAAAAGCATGGTGTGTGTTTTTTGCTGCGGTTTTGATGTGTTTTGCATTTTAAAGCTAGGCCTAGCAACAAGGAAGGCCCCAGAGTAGAAGAAAGAGAGAAGACCTGAGTGAAGGGCCAGCATGACAGGGGTTAAAGGGGGTTGGGAGAGGAGAGCCCCATTAGCTAAGGAGTCTAAATGTTTTAAGGATGTGGAGCGGGGTGAAGCCACAAGGGGGGGGTCTTGCCCTTTTTTGACACTACCCTGACAGGGTGTGTCAGGGGGTCTTCAGTCAGAAGAGTTTTCACAAGGCAAACTTCCCATCCCGATTCCTGCCTTCTTGTTTCATGGTTTGTTTTGGTGGTGGTTGTGCCAGTTGGAGCTGGGGGACAACATCCATGGTGGGGTGCAAGGTCCTCGTTGGTTACTGTGTGGGCACAAGAAAGGCACTTTGTAGGAACCTATCTGAGGTATGACTTCCAGTTGTTCCGGTGGGGGTATCTGCAAAAAACACAGGGTGTCTCCGAGTCGGTGTGGGCGTTGCGGCTGGAGGCCTAGTTAAGCAGAACGCAGGAATTCGTTTTCTTGATGCCTATTAGGACCTCGGAAAACGAAATGTTTATACTGTGTCTTTGTTATTTGAATGTTATTTATTAATGGTTGTAATAAAAGACCGTTTTGGGCCATTAACTCCAGTTTTTGTTGTCTGTGTGGTTACTTATTTAAAAGGGGGGTAGCTATTGGCTGAGGGGGACTGGATCAAGCCATCTTTAGTCCCCTGGTCAAGAAAATAGGAAAAAAAAAAATGTAAAGCGTGGCAAAAACACGTAAAGAACGTAATGCAGAAATGGCCCGAAACGCAACCTGCATAGGTGTGCACCTAGCCTTGCATTGTATTGGCAGGATCTCTTTGCCTTTTTTGACACTACCCTACGTTTGCCAGTCCCTCGTACCCCGGAGGTGGGTCTCTTTATTCTCTTGAATGGTTTCATACCTCGGACTCATCCTAGAATAATAATACGCATGCTTTTGTTTTATGCTAGAAAAATAATTTTACTGAATTGCAAAATAAAAATCTTAATCCACCTTCCATACAACAGTTCTATCGTATGGTCATTTTGATCTGCCTAAATAAAAGGTAATCTATAAAGGTCGGGTTGCCCTTAAAAGTTCACAAAAGTGTGGCAACCCTGGTTAGACATCTCAGATTCCTTCTGGGGTGATGCTTCACTATTTCTATCACTTTTATATGTCTCCACAAACTAAGATGGTTCCTACACCACTGCTGTGGTGGATGTTGACTGCATTGTGTCAAGTGTAAAGTTTGGTGGAGGGGGGATTTATGTTGTGGGGTTGTTATTCAGGGGTTGGGCTTGGCCCCCTAGTTCCAGTGAAGGGAACTCTTAAGGCGACATTTTGGACAATTTCATGCTCCCAACTTTTGTAGGAATAGTTTGGGGATGGCCCCTTCCTGTTCCAACATGACTGCCCACCAGTGCACAAAGCAAGGTCCATAAAGACATGGAGGAGCCAGTTTGGGGTGGAGGAACTTGACTGTCCTGCACAGAGTCCTGACCTCAACCCCATAGAACACCTTTGGGATGAATTAGAGCGGAGACTGCGAGCCAGGCCTCCTCCCCCGACATCAGTGCCTGACCTGACAAATGTGCTTCTGGAAGAATGGTCCAACTTCCATAGACACCCTCCTAAAACCTTGTGGACGGCCTTCCCAGAAGAGTTGAAGCTGTTATAGCTGCAAAGGGCGGGGCCAACTCAATATTGAACCCTACGGACTAAGACTGGGGGGCCATTAAAGGTAATGTGTGTGGGAAGGGCGGGGCCAACTCAATATTGAACCCTACGGACTAAGACTGGGAGGCCATTAAAGGTCATGTGTGTGGGAAGGGCGGGGCCAACTCAATATTGAACAATACAGACAAAGACTGGGGGGCCATTAACGGTCATGTGTGTGGGAAGGGCGGGGCCAACTCAATATTGAACCTACGGACTAAGACTGGGGGACCATTAAAGTTCATGTGTGTGGAAAGGGCGGGGCCAACTCAATATTGAACCCTACGGTGCTAAGACTGGGGTGCCATTAAAGGTCGTGTGCGTGGAAAGGCCGGTGGCCCAATACTTGGAGCAATATAGAGTATCTGCACAATGATCCCTTGGCTAGGGGTACAATTTCTGCTATACAGCTCCTTGTTAGAAGAATAGTCCCCCATTCCTCTTATATACATGGAACATTGGGAGAAAGACCTTGGTGGCAATCTGGCTCAGGAAAAAATGGAGGCAAATTTGGGAAACCCACCACTCATTGCTCAATCAATGCATCAGCAATTGAATCTTAATTATAAACTGCTCACGCCCTTGTACACGGTCCCTCAGCTCTTTGACTCCAATGTTTCTGGCCAATGCTTTAGGGGATATCAGATCCAGGGTACCATTTAAACATATGGTGGGGATTCCCAAAATTAGAGGATACCGGACTGGTGTATATCAATTGGTTTATACACTTCTGAGGAATAGAGACGTGCATGACGAAAAAAAGGTGTTTTTATTTGGATCATTAAATTTCGTATTTGTTATGTTAGTACGATTCATTTTTGGAATTTGTTTAGTATATTTGTTTTTCAAATCTCTTTGTAATTTCAGAAATTTATTTTGGAAAAGATCGGCTATAATTGGTTTTAATGTGTTAATTAGTTATTTATATGTTACATATCGCCACGCACGCCGGAGAGGGAGCAATAATTCTAGCACCAGGCCTCCTCCACTAAACTGATGACCTATAGAGGGCTTTTGAAGCTTCACCTATAGAAAATATCAGGTCCTGAAGTTTGTCACCATTTCACAGGCGCACACAAAAGGAAGGTTTGACATGTTGGGTATCTATTTACTCGGCGCAACCTTGTCTTTCAAATTTTACCTAACATTTGGGTAATTCATTGCATTTGATTGTCCTAAAATTCCCTTTAGTGTTGTTTTTTTACAGAAATTCTTTACGGTAGTTTCGTGTGACATAAAAAATTGGAACCACCACTGTTTTATTCTCCAGGGCACGGGTGTCAGACTGGAGTTTTCCAACAGCTGGAGGGCCGTTAGTTTGACACCCCTGCTCTAAGGTATCTGCTTTCAGAAAATATACCACATTTGGGGGGTTTTGTGTCATCTCCAGGCCTGAAATATATTTTTAAACATGTGCACAAAAAAATGCAAAACGGCTCAGGCAGCGAAAACTAAATGGCTCCAAAGGAATGAATGGAATGAAATTAATTCAGGATTCATTCATTATCTTGTTACGTTATTTCAGATGATTCAAACCTTAACAAAAGGCCCAAACTATTGCGTGATGAAAGTGATCGGTAGAGAGGCGCTTACTCAGCGTAAAGGTATGAACAGAGTATCAAAAAGAGTCCACTAAAGTGCATTTCCCACCACCATAGAAAACAAATAGAAGTCTTTTAGGAGGATGCTGGATTATGCCCATTTTCCAAACCAATCATCTTCACCACTGGTGTTAGAAAATTAAGTTCCACACTCACCAGAAGGTTTTGACTCTCCTGTTAGGATGGTCAAACAGCGGTAGGTCAGGTTCCTGAAGACGCCGCAAGGTGAAACATACATAGAAATGTGAACTGGGCCCCATATGACATCACATCCAGCCCGTCAGATCGAGGCTTGAAATGCACACTGTAGGAGATGAGATGACATCCATACATACACAGGATGTATTAACTGGTACCGGGACTATAGGCACCTTACCATGTGAGCGGTATTTTAATATATATTATTTGGAACCATGGTTCTTAATAAATACTGCACTTAGATGCTTTTTCATGGATTTTCGTTGCTTTACTGAGCCTATCTGAAAGATATTATTAAATGAAGGGGAGTTTGGAGATCCACCTCACCAGAGAACATCATAAAAATAGTGCAGCGCTAAAAGCAATGATCATAACACAGACATGAGTCCACTTAAAGTCCTGGTCATAAGGACGTGTCCAGTGACATGTAAAGATTCAAAGTTGGTGATCCGTGTGGAAACGGCTGAAAAACGCACTCACCAGAAAATTGACATATAAACGCAGTGTGCATCAAAAGCTCATGGATCCTCAATCCAGAAGGAAATAAAGCTGGTCCGGTTACAGAAAAAATGGATCCCTCCTCTAAGGATGCAGCAACAGATCCTCCTCTTCCCAGTTAGGATTCCAAGATCAAGTTTCTGCAAACAAAAAGCTCCTCAAGGGAGTTTAGGGAAGGACACCCATAGTGTAGTAGATTATATAAAAAGCAGCTTTATTAAAGAAAAAATATCATCCAATTCAAAGTAGGCAGGTATCATCAAGATGTGTCAGCAAGACAAACTAACCCTGACACTCCGAATGATGGCCGCCGGGCCTCCACGTGGCTCCGGCGGCGTAGCGTCTCGACGTCCACGCTCCTCCTTACGCGTTACGTGCGCACGCACATCATCAGAGGTATGGTCAAGACGCTACGCCGCCGGAGCCACGTGGAGGCCCGGCGGCC